CAGAGAAAATAAGGGTTTTCTACTGAAAAAGGTAAATTAGGTCTTGGCTTTGTTGCCATTTTAACAACTTGGGTTTTAACTGAAGTTTGCAGCTCGAGTTAAAAACATTGAGGAGCTTAGAGCTGACCTTGAGATGCTAACCCAAGTTAAAACCAGAGTTGCCTTGTCTTTGCTACTGTAATACAAGTTAGCTTCTCAGGTTTGCCAGACTGGGTGAAGAACACTTCTCAGTCATGTCTTTTAACAAAACCATTCTGCAAGAGCTTCCTCCTCGGCCAAATTCAGCCTGGATGATTTCGGTGTCCATGATCTAGCTCTCCCGTACCGGAACTAGATTTATTCCCTCAGATGTCTGTTTTTAAATGTTTCTGATTTATTAAAACAATGACTTTGAGAACTTTTGCAGAGGCTCCCATTGCATTCTGTCAATCAGTCTAGTATTGTAAGAAAAGATTGTTATTTTTCAAAATCAGGTTTAAGGTCACTGTAGCCAATACATATATACACACCCAAATCCAGCTCCATCTCACCTTTCAGCTCAGCAGTTAGAACACTTATTTGGGCAATAGGAGACCCAGGTTTTAAGTCCCTTTCATCCAAAAGGGGTTTGAACCTACATTTCTAACTTACCAGTAAAGCTGCTTAACCATCAAGTCATGGACTAGACTTTATCTAGAATACTCTCTAGGCTTCCTCTTGCAGCTGACTCACTGGGCATCCTAAGGAAAGCATAAGGTCCATAAGCAGATGGAGCCTCCCTGTTAAAAGTAGTAGCATTCTTCAGTAGTTAATATGCAGGACTGGAAGCTGGGATCTCCTAAGAGCTAATTCTGGCTCTGACATTGATTTGACATATGGCCTTTAGCATTATCTCTCTTAACCTGTCTGCATCCCTATAAATGGATATAATATTAGGGCATGGCATAAGCCCAGATCAGAAAACACCAACACATTGTGGAAATTTGCATCTGAGCCCAAACTTCCAGAGTCAAGCCATTTTCTGATAATTAATACTTCTCTCCCTTCCTCCCTCACTCCGTCTGGCCCCGGGCTGCTGTGAGTTATAATTAATGTTTGCATAGTACTTTAAACATGCAGAGTGCAATGGAAGCATGAAGCATTAGTATGAACGGTTAAATATTGGGACCCTGTAATAGTCTCTTTCCATTCTATACATAATATTTTATGATCCAATTAAATAAAATTAACACAAGAAAAGCCCATCATTTAAATTTGATACCCAGTAGTTCAAAGAGGATCATATGGTGTGACTAAGAGCTTCTCCCAACCCTTCTTGCTGTGTTTTGCAACATATAAGCAAAAGGTTGTTTGTCTGTAATTAGATAGCCTTGCACAGCCATCTCTTCCCAGTTGCCAATCTGTCTGGAGGATTTTGGGGTATCACTGGGCAGTTGCATTGCTGGGAGTATTATGTAATGCCAGGAAATGTGTGTCCCATTCATTGTCTGGGATGCAAGAATAAACATAGTACTGTTTCAGTGAGGAGGGCTTCTGCACCAGACTAGAAGCAGAGAATTAAGAAAATTAGAGGTAGAAAACACCTATCATTACCAAGTTATTTTGCTTAGAGAAGACAGGGAGAAACTTCACAAGGATGCAGTGGAAGCTAAGAGAATAAGCAGCATGATGCACAATGAAATGAGGTGTATATGCACTCATCAAAGGAATAATCTGTGGAGCTGTGAAGAGGCTAGAAATTCTGTTTTGTGAAGGATTTGGGGATTTCAAAATCTGGCTTTCACGACAGAGGAAAATATAATGCAAAATAAACACCTTGGGCAATTCTGCTTACCGTTTCTTACAATGTAGGGAAAAGAAGATGTTTGGTGAAATAGATGAGTAGCCAGTTTTTAAGTAATAAAACTTAATAGCTGTTTACAAAATCCATAAACAATCTGTGCCCCTTATTGCCCCAAGATAATGAGGCCAAGAACTTAATTGGATTTTCTAAAGGACTAGGCAAAAAGAGGGAGATAGACAAACCAACCGACCTAGAAATTTCATATACATGTGTATGCATTAACACATACAGAAAATGATTCAGGCGTTATGTAGCTGCTCACTAATGAAGATTACAAGGAACCATATCCTAAGGGTGATATAATTTACCCTCTAAAGTTTCTTCTACTTTTCTCTGAAACATTTGCTATTTAGCCACTGCTTTAGACAGATATTGGACTAAACTGACAATAACCCTGATTTAGTATGGCAATTCTTGTGTTTCTAATTTTGATATCCAACATCTAGACATGTAAGCATTATTGGAATGATCTAATATTGTTATAAAATGTCTGGAATTTAAAGCTCTATCACTACTAAATTGGTTACTAATGAATTTGGAGATATTTTCATTCTTTTCTTTCATCCAGGCACTTAAGCATCTCCAAACACACTGACATCTGATTCATCATATTTGTCCTAAAGAAAAAAAACTCTATGCTAGTCTGTCTTTGGGACAATTATAACTGATGCCTTTATTGGGAGATAAAACTTGATTGTGTAGCTGTGCCCAGTATTCTGATTGCACAATGATATTAAGAAATTAGCAGTACATTTTTGACTTGTTGAGTCACAGGGGGCATATCCCTTTGTATAACTTTCTGGGGCTTTCAGTTTTGCTTGATAGAGTTGTTTTCAGCTAGCAGTTTTCCTCAGTTCCTTCCTAATCCTGGGACAGTGTTTTTGTACCATCTTCATAAAGCGCCAGGCACAATGGGGCATGACTGCGCACTTTGGTGCTATAATGCTGGAAGTAACAGATATTAATAATAATGGCAGTAAAAGTAAACAAAACAATTGCAGTGTCAGCATTGTATTGGGATCATTAGTGTGCAATGCTCTGGCATTGTTGAAAGGGCAATTACAGATTTTTCAAATTTAGGGTTGCTACTGTAAGTATCTCTTATTCAAAACCCTGTGACAATACATGATGGTGTAGTAGTGTATAAAAGGCTTTAGACACACTTTCCTTGTAGTATATATTACTAATATTTATGTTGTAAAACAATCATGAGTTTGGGTCAGAGTTAAGATTTCTCAGATGGATGCATAAGGTGCAATTTTGCATACCTGATGTTGCCAAGTGAAAATATAAGTGTACCTTTATGAAGATATTCATGTGAAGTTACATGTGTTGATTTCTATAGTTCTGGAAGCTATGCCTTCTTAATACTTTTTTGTGTAAGGATTAACTATATAAGAGTGAAAGTACATGATGCTGTAAAGTGATATAAAGATTTTACTTGCATTATATGGAATGACCACACTTGTATACATAACCCTTTAGATTTGCAGTTCTGGGGTGTGGACATGTGATATGATCACTGTGGAATAATTTACCCTAGCTTTTATTCTGTATAAGTTTACTTCACAGTAACAAGTGGACACACAGCCAGGTTCCCAAGCTGGCTGCCTGCACTAGGCACTGTTACAGCACCAGGCCATTAGGTGGTGGGGAAGCTGCATTGAACAAAACAGCTACCTCAACATGAAAATGACTTGGGGAGCAGAGACACAATATGTTCAATATAAGCAGTAACTCTCCCATATAGTAAAGCTGTTGCACATTTTTCAAGGGGTCACTTATGCTGGATTTGAGTGTTTTACTATGTGGTAGGGCTGTCTGTCATGTGTCTGCTCAACTTACTCCATAGGAAATTTCACGTTCACACATTCAAACTGAATCCACAAAGTAATAAAGTGCAGACATGCTCTCAGTTGTGCTGCTGTAAATTTGCTGTAATAAGTGAATTGAGTTCCTCTGTATTTACGCAAATAACTGGCAGCAAAGTTGGCTCAAGTTTCCTATAGCAGAAAGTACAGGGAGCTATAATATAACTTCAGTTTACTCCAAAGCTGAAAGAAGTCAATGGAAAGACTGACATTGACTTCACTGGGCCCTGGATCAAAACACATAGCTGGATTATCTTGGGTAGACTTAATATAACATCTTAATGAGAACAGTTTTTCCGTGAGTAGACATCACTATAATATTGCTCTTTTTCCCTACCTGAACCTTTTTGAGGAGGTGGTGGCTTTGGACTAGAAGAGGACAGTTTAGGTAGATTTAGTAAATTACTAGTCTGCAGTTGAACATGGTCATAATCCTGGTGGCGCTTTTACCCAGTTGTTTAATTGGCACTTAATGCAGTTCAATTGCTTCATTTATTTCTGCTTCTATTTCAAGGACTGTGTGACTTTTAAATGTTTTAAGTGCCTTGAGTGACATATGGAAGTAGGTGGTTAAATAGAAAGACAGCTTCATCTAGTTGATTGGGCACTGAACCGGGAATCAGGAGATTTGAGTTTCAGCCCTCCATCTGCCACTGACCTGCAGTGTGACCTTAGGCACATCACTTCCCTCTCTGCTTCTGCTTCACCTGCCTTGTCTTTTTAGACTGTGAACTCGTCAGGGCAGAGATTGTCCCATAAGGTGTGTGTAGCACAGTAGGGGCCTTAGTTTATTGCAGTAAAAATCACCACCACCATAATGTATTTCCAGACACGTGACAGACAGCCATACCACATACTAAATCACTCAAATTGAACATAAGTGACCCCTTGAAAATTAGATTAGCTTTTAAAATAAAGTAAAAAAGAAATATGCAGTTGACCTAAGATTTCTGTGTTCACTCCTGTCCCAGCACTTACCTTTAGGCTTAGCAGGGACTCAGTGCTGTAGCAAGGGAGACAAGTGGGGTGACTGCCCTGGGCACCGAAGCAAAGGGGCTCCAACAGGCGCTGCCCACCTGAGGCGGGGCACAGGACAGAGCCCCAAGCAGCTCATTTAGGGAGATGCAGGGATGGGGGGAGGGCGGCTCTCACTGCTGTGTGCGCTCCTGCGCAAGCATAGGGGGAGCGTGTGTCCCCCAGTCTGTGTGTGGGGTGAGGGCGGGCTGCTGCTGTGGGCTTTGCCCCGGGTGCCAAACTTCCTTGCCAAGGTGCTGCAGGGTCTGAAAGAGTTTCTATTGTTTTGTCAGGGATGTTACAGAATGGAAAGAAGTTTGATTCCTCCAGAGATCGAAACAAACCTTTCCGGTTCAAGATCGGCAGACAAGAAGTCATTAAAGGATTTGAGGAAGGAGTTGCACAGGTAAAGAACGGTGCCTGAATTTCAGACCAGCTGGAGCATGGACAGGCATGTTTGGTTATGAATAGTTGGGTTTAACAGCAGGGTAGGCAAGGGGTTTTTTTGAAGGTGAGGTCCACACTAATAGTTTGTAGTCTGCCATTGCCCACCCTAATTATGATACATTTTACCTTGGGGCCTCTGGCGGGAGTGGGATCCTCTCTGTTCCCAGCTCTCAAAATATAGATATGCTAAGCCATCCAGCATTCACAACCCCTTGCTCTTGCCTCCCATGATGAGCAGAGGATTGGCTTATAGATCCCCATAATCACCACGACTGCAAACACCTGGCACCTAAAAGGATCCATTCTGGTAATGTGTTGTAGGGAAGCAGCTGGCAGCTGCATGGCAGAAGGTATCACGAGGCAGTTGCATTGCTGGGAGTATTATATGCTGCCTCTGATACCTCCCAGAGCCATGTTACAGAATCTGACCTTCACTGAACCAGGTACTGAACTGCACTGTTAAATCTTTATGGCTTTATACATACGACTGCAAAATTTAATGTTCAAAGATCAACATTAAATGAGAAAGGAGAGGGATGCTCGACTCGAGAAATTAAGGCTTTAGTGTCATCCGAATAAAATCCTAAGGGAGGTGCACAATACAATATGTCTTGACATAACATAATGGGCGTTTCCCCCAGGCGCCTTGGTTGCAATATGGCATCTTCCACTCTACATAAGTAGAGATATTGAGCTGTTTTGATATGCGGCACTGGCAAAACCAGAAAGTCACTGCAGTGGCAGATCTCTGGGCTCAGAGCAGATGAGGGAGTTGTGTGGGTCTGGTTATTAACTGCATGGCTGGCCCACTTCTGAGTGGCTGGTGGCTGCAAAGTGCCCAGCTGTATGGTGTGCAGCCCCTTCCCCACCCCCCCGGCCCTGCTGTCTCACAGGCTCCCCCACAGCATAGACTTTGTGCGCTCCTAGGGGCGGGGCCAAGAGGTGGAAGTCAGAGGAGGAAAAGGCAGCCTAGAGACTCCTGCAGCAGCAGCAGGTGTGGTGAGAAGAGCAGCAGCTGGTTAGGAGCTCGCAGGCTGCAGGTCGGATGGTCCTGACTGAAAGAAACAATTGTAATGCATGAAAACAATGGGAAGAATCACCCCATGCTGCTCTCACAAATCAGAAAGGCCTCGAGAACATGAGTTTTTTCTCAGACTAATTTTAGGAAAGTTTGAGTTCTACTCAAGCATTCAATTGCCATGCTCTAGTTTTCAAATGAATATAGTTTGTCTTATGGCAAGGGGTAGAGATGAAGTCGAGACCCTAATGTACAAGGCACCATATGCATATGGAATCAGTGGCATAACTGGAGAGGAGGAAATAGGGATGAGTGCCTGGGCACCAGGTTAAAGCAGGTGGTGGGGCGCTGAAAAAAGCTGCCTCTGCTGGCAGCGACACAGTCATGTTCACAATTACGCTGGCAACTGGAAGCAGCGGCTTCTGCTTTGCCCCGGGCACCAGGCCACGTCCCTATATTGTGCGTAGAATAGGAGACAAGTAGCAATCTAAATAGACAAGAATGGACAAAACTGATAAAAGGGTGCAAGGTGTTAGCAATGCTGTGGTTTACAAGTGTCTTGTTATTGTTGTGGGTTTTGACAGTTTTTGGCCCAGGATTTGTATATGTTCAGCCCTGGGAAGAACAAAATGGAGCCCTACAAGTACTATAAATCTGAAAGTGCATATAAGGTCACAAAGAGGACCAGACTTATCCCAGTGGGAGGTGGACTCAGATAGTCCTCTAATGCTGAGCTGCACTAAGTCTCTGCAAATCTTCCCAGAACGCCCTGCCTACCGCCACACTGCCTTAATTGATATGTAGCCTAAATCCTTTCCCATAATCTGCTTTGTGACAAATTAGCCTCTAGCTCCTCCTAGTGGACCATTACACTAGAAATGAATAATTAATAAACACTCTGAGAGCTGCTTCCGTCTCTGGATTTCAAGTACTTAAGCAACATGAATGGATTAATGCTCACGACCCGCTTACAAAGGAGGTGACTGTCGTTATCCTCAGTGTATGGATGGGAAATGGGTACAGGGAGTTCATGGCTTGATTATTAGCATCAATAACTGCACTAAGTCACTGAGGAGGGGCACAGCTCCTATGCAAGTCAGGTGGTGAAGGCGAGATTCTCAGGGGAACCTTAAGCAGCTACTTCCTACTTTAGGTGTCTGAATCCAAAATGTAGAGTCTCAAATGCCTATCCGCTGCCACCTAACCTGGAGAAGGCTAAATGCCTGCTTCTGGGCCAGTCCACAATCCTCCCTGTTCTCACAGTGACAAGCAGCTTGGCGTCTACCTCATGCCAAGGCCCCAGCAACATTCACCTAATTAAACATAGGATTAAAATATATATCCCTTGTCCAAACCCCCTACCTGACCACAGAAGCAAAAAGCAAAGGTGTTCAAGTATCTAATGTATTGCCTGTGGGTAGGGTGCCCTCCTCCAGCCTCATCTGCAAGACTGGGTCTGTTGGGTGCATTTTGATACACCTAACCCTGCACAAAACAGGGACAAGGCACTCCACCTCCCTGCCACATAGCACATTACTCCTCACAGTTCATATCTCTCTGCTTCCTGATCTGAACCCAAGTTTTAAGTATATTATACCAAGTGGAGCACCTTCAAGAGAAAAGCCTGATAGTCATATCAGAATACCCTGCAGCCAGTGTTTAGGACGGTCTCCTAACCGCTGGTTCAAATTCCTTATCCAAAGCAAGCAGAAGGTGTTTGACCTGGGTCTCCCACAGCCCAGAAGAATGTTTTAACCAGTGAGCTGTAGGGTCCACCTCTCTTAGTGGCCCAATGGGTTGTTAAATACCTCTGGAATAGCTGGAGGCAGAGCAGGAGTTAGGATGCAGGCTTCCTAGGTGCCAGGTGAGGTCTCTAACCACCTGAGATATTGTGGTGTAGGACAGACAAACTAACAACCCCCAACACCAGGCTGTATTCATGCAGTCCTGGAGAATCTTGCTTTGGGGCTTCAGCCTCAGTTGGGGGCTCCAAGCTCAGTAGCTGCATCAGCGCCGGTGTGGTTCTTCACCTGCTCATCAGAGGCCATTTGGGTGGCTGTGGAGTTAGGCAGCAGCTCAGCACCTAGCCAGTAAAAGATGCAGATAAATGCCTATATATCCTCAGGAAGTGTGGCCTGAGTGCTTTACTGTACTGGATTCCTTCTCATCCTCCTTGGTCCTATTACATACTGGGCACATTTACACATGAAATTAATGCAACGCAATAAACCCTGGTGCATATCGCACTGGAGTTTATTACTCCTGGGTGCTACATTTTACATGTGTGCCCAGGACTGCAGCACATTGAGCTGGGTCAGAATGGTACCAGCTGGTAAGGGGTCCCAGGAGTCAGCCCACCAGCCTGGGGCTGCTCCAACCCAGCTCAATGCTGGCTGGGACATGAGGGTGTTCCAGTGCAGAGCTAGCCAGCAGGCAGCCCTTGCACTGAAGTACCCTCGTGCCCCAACCAGCCCTGTCATCTACATATGCATTGCTGCACACTAAAAACACTGCTATAGGCTATTACTTAACGTTGACAAGTACTGACCTACAGCGGAGTTAATTAGTTAATTAGGCAGCTCCACAGTAAACATCTCATGTAGATGCACACACTGAGTGCCTCCTGTACACTGTAAGGTGTCCCTGGCTCCCTTGAAATCAATGGGTGTTGAGAGTACCCTACATCTTATCAGGTGGTAGCACCTTGCAGAAATTAGTCCCTAATAAACAGTATGATCCGTCAATGTGGGATTAAAAAATTAGCACAAAAGACTGCCAATGAGCATTAAAGGATATGGGAGCTAGGCCACGGATCGGCAACCCCCGGAACGCATGCCGGAGCATGGCACACGGGGCCATCTTCCTCAACATGCCACAGCTCACCTGGACTCTGGGCAGCTTCTGCCGGCAGCTACCCAGAGCCCAGGCAGGCTGCAGCTGGAAGGCTGCAAATAGCTGGATGGGACTCCACAGCCCTGGCACCAGTTCTCTGGCTGCAGCAGCTGTGTGTACCTCAGCGCATGGCTGGGAAGGAGCCTGGCACAACACTAGCTTCCCCACCATCCACCCAGAGGCACGTGTGCACCTGCTGCCACCATGGAGCCAGTGCCAGGGCTGTGGAGCCTGGCACAGCCATTTGTAGCTTCCTGGCTGCCTGCTACCAATGCTCAGAGCCCAGGCTGGTTGCAGCAGGCAGCTGGGAGGCTGCAAACATCTGCATTGGGCTCTGGAGCCCCTCCTGTGCCATCCTCCCAGAGGCATGCATGCAGCCACTGCCAGCAATGAGGATTGGGCCCTTCGCAGCTCCCCCATCTCTGGCACACCAACTTGAAGCATGGGGGGTGATTTTGGCACTCTGGCCAAAAGCGTTGCTGACCCCTGAGCTAGGCGATCCAAGGCTAAATTGCCTGGGGCCAGCTTTACAAAGGTGCCTACAGAAGCCTGGTGAGATTTAGGAGGCTAGCTAGCTGATTTTGGTGGCTAATTCCCATTGATTTTTCAAATCACCTGTTTAACAACTTGACACGTATTTTTTTTTCCTAACGCCATCTTTCCCTCCCTTCTTCAACACCTGACCACCAGATGAGCCTGGGACAAAGAGCAAAGCTAACTTGCACACCTGAGATGGCCTATGGAGCCACAGGCCATCCTGGAGTTATCCCTCCCAATGCTACCCTCATCTTCGATGTGGAGCTGCTCAGGTTAGAGTGACTCCTTGCAGGAGGAGCTGGCTGAAGACATCTGTTGATAATCATCCATCCTGTTACTTTTCCAAATGGTAGGCAGAGTCTTCACCAGAGTCTCAGCCTTCCCTGCTCAAGCTACCGTGGCAATAGCTCCTGCCCGTAGTCTCTTCATCCCTTCATTTCTCTTTGGTTTTTTTATTGCTGTTGTGTCAGTATTTGTCTTTTATTAGAAGCTTCTTTGCTTTGAGAAAATTGTCTATGGTTGTAACATTTTCAGGTTGTACATTTTATTTAATTTGCATGTGATTAAAAATGCACAGTGACAATTGGAAAATATATATATATTCCTTATCAAAAAACCACTGCCTTACTGTACACTTCAACCAAGAATACAAAAGGTGCTCAAAAAAACCTGATGTACATCTTGTACATGAATGGGCATTAGCCAGACGAGTTACCTGCGCTGCCACTTTTCTCAGCTTGTACGTTCTGCTTGCTGCTGTTTTAAACAAATGTTTCATTTGAGAATATAAAAAAAAAACTCTATAAAAATAAAATCTTGATACTTTACAATTCCTGTGCTGTCTCAGAGCCTTCTGTTTTAATGCGGACAGGCGGGGGATTTTTCTTCTAATCTGGAGTTCTTCAAGCGACTATTTCCCTTGTTGGTAGTTAATCTCTTTTTCTTCTTTTGTAATAAAGATGCTTATTCCATGTTCCTTTCCTGTAAACCTGATGTGTGGGACTAGTGTCATTGTAGGGTTTCCTGGGTCAAAAATGAGCAGGACTGGCTCACCCTGACTAGGAGTGCTGCTGAAGCAAGACCTTCTGTTAATTCCAGCTCCCCAGCACCTAGACTTATTAAGTGCGGGCTGTGCAGCTCAGGACCCCTCAATTCTAGCCTGCATTTGTCCATTAAAGAGACTGGGAATGACAGGTAGGATTTTCAGGAGTATTTAGTGGCCGAATTCTAGTCCTGTCAGTCCAGGGGAGGTTTACCAGACAGCTCAGTGGCAGCTGAGAGGCCAGTGCTGGGTTTTCCTTAACCCCCCTCCCTCCTCCTTTTTCCTCTTGGAGTAAATCTGCAGGATGAAGTGGCTTGACTGTCATATCCCCAGGACCTCAGAGTTGCTGGCCCTTTACAAGCGCCTTTTTTGGTTCACTGTACTTTACACAAGGTATTTGACTCCCTACAGGAAGCTCCAAGGGTACATGAGCCCAGACAAGCATGCACATGCAGTATGCGTTAGTGCAGACCCATCTGTAGCACTGCAGACTACATGCACCGCACATGCAGGTGTTGGCCACACTGCTGATTTGCAGTGCGGTGAGATTTTGACAGCAGGAGACCCCAGTGTCAAAAAAATCCATGCCTGAAGAAAGCAGGGCAGCACACATGGTAGCAGTGTGCGCCACCTGAAACGGGAGACTTGCAGGCTGGAGCCACACTCCTCTGCGCAGTGAAGCACTGCCGCTGGAGCCCTGACAACCCCCCAGGACCCCAGGTAAAACTTCTGGGGCCAGCCCCAGTACAGCCTCTTCTATCCCACCAGGGGCAACTTGCCATGCACCAGAGCGTGCATGCACAAGCATTCCCCAGGGACAAGCAGCACAACCATCAACTACTGCTGTTTATCCCCAGGGAAATGCATGTACATATTGTCTGGATGCATCCCAGGGTACCACAGAGGACTCAGACCATCTGCCCCCTCCAATGCCAAAGTATGAAGCTAAACTGTTGACCTGATCCATGGCCTTCTCCTCCCAGGAGTAGTCACGTCAAACAAACTGCGCATCTCCAAACCATCTGGCACTGCGGTATGTGGCAGGCTAGTAGGGGGTGCTCCTGCATTGAGCCACCCACCTCACTGTGCCCGACCACATTCCAGGCTCCGAGTGCTTCCCAGGGGGCGCCTCACATCTGGCTGACCCCCTTCCTGGAACACACCTGCTAGCCTGGGGGTAGACCTGCCACCACCCAGGGCTTGATTCTGGCTCTGCACCCCCTGGGAAACATAGGCCTAGTAGCCCTTGAGGGTACTTGACTCACTTCAAGAACTTGGGGTGCTTCCCTCAGTCGGAAGCATAAGTAGTGGTCTCCCTTAGTCAGTTGAATCAAGGGGACCCCAAGGCATAATCTAGACCCACTCCCAATAAGTCTTACATGCTAGGTACAAAGGAGAACTTTATTGGTTACAAGCAGTAGGGTTGGAATAGGGTACAGAGTTGAGTAGTATCAGACAAATCCCGCAGAGCAAACAGGGTGGCTGGAGTAGCCTTTCATTACACACCTGAGTTACTGCAAGCTATATATCTAGTTAGATCTCAGGTAGCTTACAAGTATCATCCAGAGGCAGGGATGATCCTTGATCATGAGTTTTGAGAGAGAAAGCAAGTTTCAGACGGTCCAGCTCCTCTGAGTTTTCCTTATGGCTGCTGCCCCTTCCTCCTGGGCAGTCCTTAACTTATATAGCCCTTATGACCTCATTTACCTGGTCCAAAGGAGGCCAGCACCTGTTGACTGTTGGCCAACTAATCTGAAATGCATCACTTGTTGCTGGGCAGACTAGCAGTCTGTAGCCCACCAGGTGCCCAAGCCCCTCACCCAGGTATGTGTTGCCAGTCATGTAGGCAGAGGGAGCAGGGTTCCCCCCTCCCTTAGGAATATATCCAGCTCAGGTTACCTAAAGAGATAGGGTAAAGTGTGTACCCCCTGCAGGGCCCATCCTAACCAAATTGTCACAGAGCAGAGTTTTTGGGGAGAAACAAAGGTGGCCTTCTGCCACACAGTAGACACCCCAAGCCCAGCCCATCCTGTCCCAAACTAAAACACCCTCAAACCTGTTCCCTCCTCTGTTAGTCCCTTTCCATCCATCCCTGAGATAACACTTGTACAAGAAGGTGTGTTTGCACTTTGGGTTCCACTGTCTCATCCTCCTAAGATTGTAGAATAAGCAACAACAGGGCCATGAGAACAATCCAACACAACAGACCCTGAGATACACACATATCCTGGAAGGAGAGACCAGCCTGACTATGCCCTTCAGACACATGTTCACAACAATTCCCAGCCACTATTTCGTACACTATCCCTGCTAATGCAGCAAGCACTATTCCTCTGTGGCACTTGGGAAAACTGAGGGAAGAAAACATCATCACTTGCCCAAGTCAGAAGCAGGTCTCAGGAGCCCCAAACTTAAACTGGCAGGTGGTACTTCCTCTGTTTCATTCTCCTGCCTTGTCTAAGCTAACTTCAGGTTTCATTTTCCGTTATTGGCACAATCAGCAAAGCAAGAGGACTAGGGCAGTGGCATTCACTATTTGGACCTGTGGGCCATATCAGTGGCATGGGGCTTGTGTTTGGGCTAGATTGAACTCCACATGGATGCCTGGACTGGGCCCTGCGCTGGCCTTGCATGCCAGGATCAGGTCTCAAACACCAGGATTGGCCCATGGCACTGCAGATGTTATCCCATGTGCCAGGATTGGGCCCTGCACACCCAATGTAGTGCACAGGGCCACACTGTCCAGCCACTGGGGCTCCCTATAGCCTGGAAATATGGTACCAGGGGTGTGGCAACCACTTCCCTGCTACCAGCTTTTTGGACCTGTGGGGAAACTCACAAGCTATATGACAGGGGTAGGCAATGTTTTTTGGCTGGAGTGCTGAAAAAACCACAATGTATACCTTGGAAGGTGCCGGGTGCCTACATGCCGGAGCAGCTGTTTGCAGCCTCCCGGCATGCTTGGCACATGTGCCGGAGGTTGCTGACCCCTGCTATATGACATGGCTCGGGGGATCAGATCTGACCCATGAGCTGGGGGGTAGAGCACTCTTGGAATAGGGCAGTATGATATCATCAATATTACTGTTTGTTTCTTCAACACGTTCAAAAGCCATTTATATATTTTACTGTGTGACTGGATTTTTTGACTGAAATATTTGCTGCACTAGATTGGGTGCAGGTGAGTTCTGTGCATGGCTGTTTGTAAGAAGAAAATGCAACCAGCCTGGAATTATTGCTTGTCAGCCTGCCCAGAGCATTGAGCTAGAAACAAGGAAATAAACCACGTGGGCCAATAAATGGTGAGCTACGATGAAACCAGCATGGAAGCTGCAAGCCTGCAGTCTGGTCATCAGTAAGTCCAAAGCTCTCTCTTGTCATCCCATGAACATTCATTTTAGCTGCAATGTTGTGTTTTTCTATGGTCTAGCTTGGTAGGATTTTTTAAACCTCTTACATTGCTAAGCTTCTACTGTTGGTTGTTACAGCTTGGTGTGAATGACAGATTTCACAGCAGAGGTGCCTGCTTTGGGAACATGTTTGAAGACAACTGTAGCTAGTGAAATTCTAATGCAGTTTTTGCACTTTTGGAGAAGGGAACATGCTCCTTTTTCTCAGTTGAAAAGCCTTTTAACATAGTTCTTTTTACCAACCCGACCGTTGCCTCTAGGTCACTCATTTACAGAACTGAGCCATCTCCCACCAAATTTTCAGGAACTTCAATTAACTGCATTTTTGGGGTCCACAATGAGATCATACTTCATGGAGAGCTTTCAGAGGTGAAAAGGCCCAGCATGTCCTCACAAATAGCCAATGGATAGCAAAGGATTACTTGACCCTATGGCTTCTATGTCTGAATAATGCCATAATCATCTACTAAAAAGGCAATGAAATCCAGCTACCTGGAAGATTACCTCTTTGTTCTTCTTTGGCAATCCCTTGCAGTCGAGGATGATTGCCTTCCATGATTGTCTTATTCGTTTGGCTGATGAGGCCTACCTGGGATCGACAGACAGCTTGGATTTTTAAGCTGTTTTCACAAAACACGCCTGTGCATGACTTCTTTTATCATGGAGAAGCTGCTGCACATCAGCTTCCACAAAGCTCTTGACATAACAGGCCCTTGAGCCAATGACAAGGAGACCAAGACAACCGGGGATCTCATTCCCTTGTAGCCTTCATCTGCCTTTGCAGTAATTGAGATTCTAACATCTTCCACCTGCTCTGCTGCTGAGGATCTTTAGACCCATGGCTGAGGCCTGGGCAGGCAGAGGCCTGTACTCGCCATGTGGTACAGCACCATCAAAGTATATAAGTGACTTTTCAGGAGGGAAAGCATTGCTGTCTGCTGTCCTTACCACATCCTAGTGGTGCTGCTGCTACTTGGTCTGTGATTGCTTATTTGTCAGAGTTATCCCTGCTTATTTCACAGCTAACTTTCCCCTAAGGTTCCCCTGCTATCTGCCACCTGTGGACATGCTGGGTAGCAATACAGCTCTGCCCCACAGATAATTGAAAAAAAAATGCTGGGGCATAAGTTCAGTCAGTCCCAGGGACACCGTGCGGTTAGCACTTTAGCAGTAATTGCTGCAGTGGCAAAGCCTAGACAGTGCAGACCAAGCTGGCTGGAAAGTAAAACCAATTGAACTCAGCAGCCAAGATCAGAGCCAAGGCTGAGGAAGAGAAAACTCATCTTACTTAAAGACTCCCTGTAGGTTAGATTGCTTCCTATGTGTTTTTGACATTGTTGGCTGCACTGGAAGTGCTCAAAGATCTTGCGGCTTGAGAGATG